CACCATCAGCACCAGAATGGCATCGTCGAGCGCTCCATAGGCATCATCGTGGACATGTCGAGAAAGCTGCTGCACCAGAGCGGACTGTGGGCGTTTCGCGACTTGCTGTGGCCGTACGCCGTCAAGTGGGCGACCTACCTGAGGAACCGTATGCCGCATGCTGCCTTGTCTCGTGAGCGTCTGATGACCCCCATCGAAGCCCTTCGTGGTGTCAAGCCCGACTACAAGGACATCCATGCCTTTGGTGCGCTCGCCTACGTCCACCAACGCAAGGCACCTGAGGGTCCTCGCCGTCATCCATTTGATTTCAAGGCTGAGAAGGGGGTGTACCTGGGCAGGAAGGAGAACACAAAGGACGTGCACTGTGTGTTCATCCCTGATCGTTCGGTGGTAGTTGAGTCACGTGATGTGTCGGTTTACGAGTCGGTCTTCCCTCTCAAGACGGCGAGCAAGACGACCACAACCGCGGCGCCCTTCCCTGCCACTACTGCCGTGCCGACACCACCACAACCAAGACCACCTCCCTGCCCACCGCACGGCTACTTCGCTCAACCGCATCCTGCTGCACCGCCACTCATCCAGCAAAATGTGCCTCCACCACAGCCGCCAGCACCAGCACCTCAACCACCAGCACCAGCAGCCCCTCTGCCCGCTGCGGCTGCATCCGAGAACGACGGCTCAGAAGGGGAGCAACCTCAGCAACAAGAGCAGGAAGGTGCAGACCAACACGACCATGGCGCGGCCGATCCGCAACAGCATGATGAACAGCAGGACCCAGGCAATGGCGACGTCGCTGACCAGCAGCATGACGGTGCGGGCCACCTGGACGACGAGGCGGCACCACCACCACCACTACAACAGCAGCAGCAGCAGCATCATGACGCACCTGCACCCGCACCAGCGATCCCGGCGCCGCCACCCGCACAGCAGCAGCATGCCAACGAGCCCCCTGCAGCGGCACCAGCAATGGCAGCTGACCCACCAGCACCTGCAGCTCAGCCCCCAGCTGAGCAGGCAGCTCAGCCACAGGGCACGACGACACGAGCAGGCCGGCACGTTCACTTCCCTGAGGACCGCTACAAGGACTACCACGTCGGCTCACTCGAGACGGCCACTCTCGACCCCGAGATGGTCACGCGCATGACTTTGGAGGACTTCATTCGCTGGCGGATACCATCGCTGCCTGGGACCGAGACCGTCAAGCGTGTGTGGGCCACTGAGGAGTACCAGACCCTCATGCAGAAGTACATGAATGGCCTGGTCGGTCAGAAGGGGAAAGGGAAATATCGCGGGTAGATAGACAGACAGCCTACATGTATGTATGTGTGTGAATGTGTGTGTGAATTCATTTCGTGTGTGGTGCATACGTACGTACCGATGCTCACTCACGCGTGTCACCTCTCTGTTGTGTTGTGTCTATGTGTGTTGC